CCTCCTCCTCCTCCTCCTGCTCCTCCGCCTCCTCCTCCTCCTCCTCCTCTTTCTCCTCCTTCTCCTCCTCCTCGTCCCCCTGCTCTGGGAAGTACAGGGTGCAGGGTTAATCGAGACACGCTTACATCCTGTCCAGCAACCCTAGCTGCCAGACCATTTTAGGAGGCAACTACTGGGAGGTTTTCGCCAGAGAGATTAAGGACGATTAAGCCCCATTTGGGGACTGTTACGCCGGAGTGGGCCTCGGATTAAGCGGGATTAAGCGGGATTAGGCGGGATTAAGCGCGATCAAGCGGGATTAAGCCGGATTTCGGACCAGTGTAACATCAGAATTTGACCTCCCAGGAGTTGCATCCAAACAGGGTGAATCGAGACACGTTTACATCCTGTCCAGCAACCCAAGCTGCCAGACCATGTGTACAGTTATTGTCGTGTGCAATGCTTGTGCCATGAAAGGAAATGTGTGCGCCGCGAGTTGAAAAAACGAATGCATGCACCGCAAGCAGCTGCATGTAACGGCACGTATTCCCCGCGAAACGCAACGCTCACAGGCGTGGACGTGCACATTCCCTGAACCTCCCACGTCCTTGAGTATTTCATGGGGTATATGCGTCAGCCACAGAACTGCTAACAGGCAATGTTTTGACAGAAGCTTGCGAAAATTCATCAGGGCATGCAGTGATTCTGACCGATGTGTGTTCATACCCACGTGGGGCGAGAGGCAGGGAGGAGGAAAATCAGCAGCAAGAGCGAGACGAAAGCTCTGGGAAGAGGAAGGCGAGGAGGGGAGGGGCGGGAGGGGGGAGGAGAATGGCACATCGGGCGGCACGGAGCGTGGCCAAACAAACCGCGTTTGGGTAGGAGTATGGCAGTTGTCACGTCAAGCCCATGTGACTTGACACACGGGCCGAATGCCACACGGGCCGAATTTCCGCGAGCACCTGATCCTGACACGACCTGCGGCTGAGGAAGGAACTGGGACGCGGGCACAGACATCATGCTCCTTATCTCTTGATGTTCCTCCTCCCCTTCTTCCTCATTGTCCTCTGTAGAAGACGAGTCTGCACGGCGAGGACGAGGATAGCATAAGACGAGGATAGCATCTGACGAGGATGCATCGAGAATCTGTGAGATCCGGCGGCTCTGGAGGATGTATCGGGCGCCGCATCCTTCTGAGGGCGTTCTGGAACGCTCTGAGAGCGTTCCAGAACGCTCTGAAACGGATTTGTCCTCGTCCTAGCCCCGTTCGACAATTGCTGCATGCTCCTGGCTGGTCCGGAAAATCTTTAGACCAGCCCAGAATACACGAACTCCGTCCCGTGAGAAGAAGGCGGCCGCACACTGTTCGCCAGATCCGCCCTGGCACGAGGCTGTGGCGAGACCTTGAGCGCGCGTTCCGAGTCGCCTGCCCGACATCCACCCCTCTGTTCGGGTGTTCGTCAACGGGGCGACAATGAGCATGGGGGTAGGTGTCCAGGCAGCCCCACTACTTCCCACTAAAACCAGAGACATTCCACGGGAGCACCCACTAAATCCAACTAAATATCATTCAACAATAATATGGGAAAAACAAAAATATCTGTGGGTCGAGCAGAGTTTCTTATACTTGTCCACCAATTTGGGTGAGGAAACGTGCTCCTTTCGGGCACCTTTTCGGGCCCGCGGTGGCACGTTAGGGGCCACTCAGGGTCCCGTTATAAGGGGCACCTTCCTGCAATCATCGGTCCCCTCACGTCCATTGCCCCCCCCCCCGTTGCCGTCCGCCCGATTCTCTTAACCGCTCCTCTTCTCGTTCTCACTCCCCCGCTACCCCCTATCCTGCTCCAACCTGGCCGCCAAGAAGCATGAGCTGAAGACAGCATTGCATTGCGGAAGAACGCGCCGGGCGACCTGCGAAGAGGCGGGAGGACAAGGCTAAATGGTCACAAGAGGTCCCCGGGAGGTCCTCGAAACTGTCTCTTGAGCCAGAACAAGATGCTCGCGGTATGAGAGCGCACCATAGAGGTCCAAAATCAAACGCGAGCAAGCGCATCAGAGTGGAGAGCTCTGTTGTGAGCTGAGGCTGATATGCAGAGCTGGCTCCGAAAGGGGGCCGAGCGCAAACGAATCGCGGGTGCATGTAAGATGCAGCCCCGAACCGCGCGATTGCACTGCTAGACAGAGAAAACACACGCATACATTGTGAATCAGATATTCCTCTTCCTCTTCTGCCTCTGAAGTGGATGAGATGGGGGGGCATACTTAACAAGCCTGCGGAGTGACTTACGCAGGCCGCTCACGGGGCAGACCACGGCAATCCACTGACGCACCATAATTAGCGCAGTCATACCAGCGGGTAGCAGGAAGGAGAGGGGAAAAGCAAGACGAACGGGAGAAAGAAGAGGGGAAGACAGAAAGAGAGGGGGACGGGGGGAGGAGGATCTCTCGTGTCCGTGCTCTCAGCAGCGAGAGCCGAACGCGAACAAGACGGGGCGAAACTCCTCCTCCTCCTCCTCCTCCTCCTCCTCCTCCTCCTCCTCCTCCTGCAACTCCTCCTCCTCCTCCTCCTCCTCCTCCTCCTCCTCCTCCTCCGCCTCCTCCGCCTCCGCTTCCTCCTCCTCCTCCTCCTCCGCCTCCGCCTCCGCCTCCGCCTCCTCCTCCTCCTCCTCCGCCTCCTCCTCCTCCTCCTCCTCCTCCTCCGCCTCCTCCTCCTCCGCTCCTCTCTCCGCCTCCTCCTCCTCACCCTCCTCCCGTCCTGCTCTCCTCCTCCTGTCCTCCTCCTCCTCCTCCTCCGCCTACTCCACCTCCGCTTCCTCCTCCTCCTCCGCCCCCGCCCTCCTCCTCCTCCTCCCTCCTCCTCCTCTCCTCCTCCTCCCCGTCTCCTCCTCCGCCTCCTCCTCCTCCTCACCCTCCTCCTCGTCCTCCTCCTCCTCCTCCTCCTCCGCTCCGCCTCCTCCGCCTCCTCCTCCTCTCCGCCTCCTCCTCCTCCTCCTCACCCTCCTCCTTGTCTCCTCCTCTCCTCCTCCTCATCCTCCTCGTCCTCCTCCTCCTCCTCCTCCTCCTCCTCCTACTCCTCCTCCCCCTCTCTCCTTGCCCTGACGGCTTTCACCGCCTTCGGGCTTCTGCGGCTCTCCCCAGGCCCCTGAGGCGTCCGGAGCTGGCCCTGGGGAAGGCCTGGAGTCTCGGACAGGCCCTCGGGACCCATGTCATTGTGCAGTCAACGTCCTAACAGAAGGAAAGCCAAAAAAGTAACGAAGGGGCTTTTCTGGCCACGGCGAGCCTCGGCTTCGAGTAGGTTCTGCTGCCTAGATCTACGGAGCGGCCCCAGAATCACAGCCCCTCCTCAGCCCAAGGAGGTCCTTACTCCAGTGTCTTGACTCTTGGACAAGGCTCCCCTGGCAGCTTCCTCCTGGGCGCTCCTGGCAAATGCGCAGCAATGAGCTGGGGGAAGGGAGGCTTGAGGTATGCCTTAGATGCAGCCGGGCGGCCTCACAAACCCAGCACCAGGGCGGGCAAGGAGGAGGGCGAGCGATCCCTCAGCGCCCTCCACGATTGCCGCACACCACCCCCACAAACAAGCTAAGCTGGTCCGGACGGGGCGGTGGCCATACAATTTAGCCCCCAGATCCTGCGCCCGCCTTGGCAGAGCACCGCGCTGCAGGGAGGGATGAAAGGGGCCAGTGCCTCTGCTGGCCATCGCTCGGACGTCCATTCCCTTTGTTGTTTGTCGGTTTCGTGCGTGGCTCTTTCGCCAAATGCTCGAGGATGCTCCTCGATGGCCCTCGCCGAAGGAAGAGTGCACGCGACCGAGCGATGCCAAGACTGTGGCGAAGGAGGGCGAGGAGACGGGCGGAGGAGCGGGCCGCAAGGGGACCGAGGACCGGGGCGCAGGAGTGGCAGCAGCAGTACCGCGCCGGGAGCGGAGCGCGCGGCTCTCAAGGCCCGGGCGCCGCAGAAGCTGGGGGCGACGGCCACGCTCAGGTCGGGCCTGCCCCCCCTATGCGAGGGGATCTTGGACGAACACTTAAAACAGTACTCACAAAATACTCAAAAGATGCAAGACTCCTGTATGTCTATGTTTGAATATTCCCCCTGTAGGAGGACAGGCCCGACTTAAGGCCATGCCCCAGGCCGCCGCTCGGCGCCTCCACCAGCGACCCTGGTCTTCCAGCGACGCGCGAAGAGAGAGGAGGAGCAGGAGCGCTGAGGGGACCTGTGCGCAACCACCGTGCCTGGCCCACGGCCATCCTGGGCCCCGGCATGGCTGACACGCCCTCCTGGCCGAGGCCAGAGAGTCCGTGCGCCAGTCGAAGTTTTCGCGACGCGAACACCCCTTCCACGGGGGCGCGGCTGTCATCCCGAACCCGGGACTGGGAAGCGGCCTCCAGGGGCCAAAAGGGTCAGATTGAGAGGGCCGAACGGTCTCAAGCTATCCCTGGGTGCGTGGCTGAAGTGGGGACCCGCGGTCGGAATTGTTGTTGTTGTTTGTACAGTATTGTCGTTGGAGCTGCTGACGCTGCTACTGCTGCTGTCGATCTCTCGTTCCTAAAAGGTAGATGCTGTTGCTCCCCCCTCCAGACACCAGTACATGTTTGAAGGTGAAGTATTCCTCCCGGTGCTGGCACCCCGTTTTTAACAGACGGACATGAGGGACCACCGAATTGGGTCCCTGGCCCCGGTGTACAACAACAACAACAACAACAACAATTACTAGCACGTGGGGACACACCGTTCTCACCAGTGCCAGGGTTTTCATAGGAGGCGGGCAATACCCCCACTTTGTGGGGGGGCCGGTTCAAGCTCTACCAAATTTCCAAACGACTCTTCGCCACCACCCACACCCAGCTTCCCGCCCTATGACGTTCGGACACTTCACTTCGTGGCATGCGGACGACCGTGGCTACTATTCAGGGCCCCGCGGCCGACGACGACGGCGTGCGCGCGCGAAGAAAAAACGAATGTGTCCCGCATGGTATTATTTGACAGGGATGATGGCCCTGGCAGGTGCGCAACCGTTGTTGCAGAAGTTCGAAAAAGTTGCTCGCAAAAGCCCGTTTGACAGAAATGTTTAAAAAGTGTTGGGTTTCCTACGAATCCGCAAGAGCGCGCGGGATGAAATTTTGACAATTTGTTTTTGAAAAACCATTGGTTTTTTGATGTTTTTATGTTAAAATCGCTACGAAAACTAAGGTTTTGGAAGGATTTCGTCTTGCGCGCGCGAATGTCCACTTTACCTTATTTTTTGCAAGGGATTCTTGAAGTTTGGTTATGTTAGAACAAGAAATGTCCACTTTAGCTTATTTTTTGCAAGGGAAAACCGATCGTAACAACACAACCGGATCCGGACCAACCCGTTTTGCCTGAGACTTCCTCACGAAAATGATGAAAATGAGGCTGCGGCCTAGGCGCGGCGGGGGGGTCGTGCACCAGGGGTCCCAACAATAATTATTCTTTAGAAGTAATAATGTTCAACAACAACAACAGCAACAACAACAACAACAACTACAACAACAACAACAACGCCCGCCTGATACATCCTTACACTGTATTCCAAAACCGCGCTCTCGCGCGAGACGTCCGGGCTGCACGGAATACACGTCGCAGGTGGGAAAAGTATGACCCAAATGGGATACGAGCGAAGACGAAGAGGGCGGGAATCAGCCAGTCTTGAACTAAGTGCTGTTGTTGCTGTTGTTGTGATTGTTGTTGTTGGTGTACTCTCGTGTTTAAAAGATCATTCGTGTGCACCCCCCTCCCTCCAGTGTGCATTATATGCTTCGATCGCAGTGATCCTCCCGGCGCTGACACCCCTTTTTTGTTACAATGGAAAATGGAGGGTCACCAAACTAAGCCCCTGGCCCCCAGTTTACCACAACAGCATAATAACGGCTCCCGCCGAAAACTTTCTCACAATTGATTTCCAATTCGCGCTCTCGCGCGGGATGTCCTGACGAGTTCTACAAGAATCGCGCTCTCGCGTGGGACTTAATCACAATGTATTCAGACGCCGCGCCCTCGACAATCAAGAATCACACGCTCGCTGCGGATTTTCCGCACGATCTATGTGGGATCACGCTATCGTTCGAGACTTCCTCGCGATTCAAGGAGGACGCACGCTTCAGCAACCCGCATGCTCGACCTGGCCGTCTGGGCCCGCCTTCCCGACCCGCCCCTGAGAGTCCCGCCCGATCTGCCCGGTCGGCTCTGCCACGTACTTTCTGCTCCTAGCCCCCCTCCTGCTACTCTCTCTCTCTCTCTCGTGTTCCATCCTCCTCCGACCCCCTTGTCCTTTCCGTCTGTCCTCTCTTCCCCTTCCTTAAGGGCTGCAGGAAATACACGTCGCAGGTACGAAAGAGATACCCCTTAGCGGGTAAGGCAGAAGGTTGCCGCCCGTACCGCCTCGTGAGCGCAACGTACGCTGATATTATACGACATAGAATACACAATGAATATGTGTGTAGAAATAAATACACACATGTGTATGTAGGTGTGTACATATATATATATATATATATATATATTAGATGGCGTAGCTCACACCATATACCTTTCATCGCAGATGTTATATTACATGTATCACACAACTAGCTTACACAGCATAGCGTTCATCTCCAACTCGCACAACCTAGATTGCACAGCTCTTTCTACACTACAACGATTACACAACATAGCCTTCATCTCTATAGGTCGCACCACATAGCTTACACGACGTAGCTTGCAATACATAGCTTACAACGCATACGTAGCCTTCACCTCACAACTATAACAACTCACTGTTTGGAATCCACGCTGGCTAACATTGATGGCAATGCCTGGATTGAAGGCGCGTGATCACGATCGAAACCCAGACCCGTCCAGGCCTGCGTTCCGACAAGAATTTCGAAGGGGGGTGCAGATGCGGCAGCGAGGCGCCTCCCCGAGGCCCAAGATCGGCGAATGTACGACAACGTTGGCCTGCGAGGCTCGAGCTGGCGACGCCCAGATCTGCTGGGGAGGGCCAGGGGCAGCAGCAGCCGAAGCGGGACGGCCCAGGC